TTACATGCAGGGCAACCTGTCTTTAAGTAGGTATACATACTCTAAAAGAAATGAATCCTGGATAGTTTTCTCGTTAAGTCAAGCATCTTGTTCTTTAAATAAAATTTTTTTGTTTAAAATAAAATAGTTATGCCATAGTTAACATTTGCTGAATGTCTATGTGATTTTTGTGTATTATGCTACCTTGAACAGATGAGGAAACCAAAGCTTAGAGAGAAGGCTTGGGTGACTTGCCCAGAGTTGTCCAGGGTCAGGGTGGGAGCTGGAGTTCAAATCCAACCCTGTCTAATGCTGAAAGCCCTGCTCTTTTCACAATGCTATGCTGTCTCCTTTGTCTCTTGTCCACTTATGTCTAAGTTTCCTACAGATACAGCCCGTTGTTGCTCTTCTGGATATGAGAGAAGCAGTGAAAAGTAACCCTTCTCCACTAATGTTTTTAATTATACTAGGGCACAGAAATATTTAAATAGTAGTTTGCATTAGAATTGAAAGCCAAATATTATGGGTTTCTTTCATTTCATTAAAAAGTTACTTAATCTTTATGTTGTTCCCTATGTAAAAGCTGAGCAGAATTTTATCAGGCAATTGCCTCAAAGTTATAATCTGGAAAATCTTTTTGTAATGAAACCCATATGTCATAGGCGAAAGGTACAAAGCCCTGGCAGAGAGGGCTGGTCTCATGAGAGATTCTGCACCCAATCTCGTTAACCAGGGTATTTCTGGTAATCCCTCATCCCCTCACCAGTGAGAAATCAATCTGTACCACTGAATCTCTTTCAACCAGCCACCAGAAAATTTACTGCAGAGAAGGCAGTTTGGGGATAGTCATTGTGGGAAGGGAGCCAGAGGCAATGCTAAATGTAAGGTGGCGAATTGGAGAGTCTAAAGGAGAGATTCTGTTAAACCACACACCACTTTCCGAGCAAGCAGAATAGAGTCCTCCCTTCAGCCCTGACCTCTCTAAGTATACTCAGGTATTTACAGCTGCCATGAACCTGACAGCCCTTGAGAAACTATGAAGGGGGGTGACAGAAACAGCATAAACTTGGAAGTTGATTGTAGTTTATCCATTTGCAGTCTTTAAGAGTATATGAGTGGCTCCTCTCCCACACTCTGCAGCAGTTGACATGTTAACCCTATGGTGACAGTCTCTATTGTGGATTTCTCAGTTTATGATCTCTGCACTGCATAGGAGGGCCTGTAAATCAGGACTGGACATGTAGGCCATGCTTCCCTTCTGCCCAACATACACCATGGTGCTGCTGACCATTAGATCCCTCTTGTAGTTATTAGAATGTGATTGGCAGCGTTTTCTTCCTGTTAAGCCTTGTAATGCTAGAGAGTAAATCCAGAATCAGAAAATAGTTTAACAGATTTTACTGACTCTAGATAAACTGTCTCTAGCACTGTTATTGTCTCTAGGGTTGTTTTTTATGTAACACATTACGAAAAGAAAAGAACTAGGAAAAAAGGGAGGAACTACAATTGCCAAACTGAGGAGCATGTAATCTTATCCTGCCCTTTATGCTAGAATTATACCAAGCTATTGGGAAGAAGGAATGGAGCTGGGTAGTGGAGGAATAGAAATAGCTTCCTCTCCTCTGCAAGCAAGCACTAACCATCTCTAAAGGATTTTCCCCAAAGAGATTTGAAATCCTTAGTGGGAGTTTTTTTTAGTAAAATACATTTACATATAAAACCCTACTAGAAGGGATGTGTGTGTGTGTGTGTGTGTGTGTAGAAGAGGAATACAGAATAGTAGCAGAAGGTTGTTTCCCTACTCCTAATGGGATTTTGTAGCAGCATGTGTGAGTTTGTTTCAGAAGTCAAAAATGAACAGATGTTGGTATAAATTACCCCTGTGTCTGATGTCTTGCAAATTAAAAGCATGGTTGGCATCACTAAACAATTTCACTAGGTTTGTGGGGGGGTGCGGTTAGCGGGTGGTGATTACTGTAGCAGGTCGGTCAGAATCTTCACACTGCAGCAGAGCAGGAAAGCAAAGATAAAGAAATGAGGAATAAAATGAGGGATATGTGAATTAATCAGAAATGTTAACATCTCTGATGACAAGCGAACAGGAGGGCACATGCTCTGGAGCAGCCTCCAACCCACGGCAATTTCTCTGTGGGCAAAAGGGGCTGGTGCTTAGGATCTGATTTATACAGCACAGCCCTCTTTCAGGGAGCAGCTATGTCACACATTCGTATATCTCCTATATGGGACTGGCGAGTGGGAAAACTTCTTCCCCTCCCACGTAGAAGACGATGTCTTTCGAATTACTTCTACTTTTACGGTGGTTTCCCACAGCTCTGTGTACTTGGATTAGGTTGGAGGGGGAGGGATGATTGAGTGGAAGAGGGGTTGTTAAAAAGGATTGGTTAAATTCAAGGAGAGCTTGCCACTAGAGAGTTTGGAATAGCCATTTATTTTTTCTTATAAACTCTTTAGATCCCTCAAATAGATTTGGTCTCTTTTTATTCTAAGTCTTAAAATATTGGCCATTCTCCCACTTGAGGAAAACAAAAACGAGTAGAAAACTGAGATCTGTGGGGCAGCAGGCAGAAATAATTAGTAAGATCAGTACAGTGTCCAAGGCCCAGGGTTTTTGGAGCAAGGCTTCGTTGTGCCTGGTAAAGTGTTTATATTGGCCCATGTCTGGTTTCCAGAGCTCCTGCTTCTAACCATGTTACAGGATCACTGAATACCATGTTTGAAAGTCCATAATAATCACTCAAATAGGCAATAACCCATCCAGTAGAAATAAATGATGAGACTTGCTCTGCCTGAAGGTACAAGTAAATTCCTATGCGATCAGGCCGAGAGATTTCAAGGAATGGGATTTTTGATATCACTAGCCTCCCTTAGCACAATTCATTCATTCACTCAGCCAATACCAAGTATAAGAAAAGAAGCAGACTACTTATCTACCTCCGAAGGGCGTTCTGTTATGATAACCACTATACCAAGCATGTCCATTACTGTTATCCAAGAGAAACATAGGACAGGTAGCATTAATGTGCTCCCCATTTTACAGATGAAGAAACTGAGGCACAGAGATCTTACCCAGTCCAGGGTGTCACCTGGATGCTAAATGCTAGAGCTAGAACTTAAACTGAGTTAAGTTTAAACAAATCCTATGTTCTCTGAAAGCAGCTCGTGCTGTATCCCATAGGCAAGAAAGTATGTGCTTGGTTTTCCTCTAGGGTAGTTAGTTTTTAACCCCCTAATCTCTCATTAATCTGGCATTGTTTCCATCCAGAGAAATAATTTTTCTTGACAAATAAGCAAGGTAATTGAAAAAGAATCTCATGATGCAGAGAATGGAGCACCGAGGACCACGAAATAGTCTTATTATTTGTCTGTGGAAGGGAAAAAAAAACCCTAACATTTATGGTGTTCCCACTTGGTTCTAGTTCTTCTGTATATTATCATTCATCCAGCCAACGTTTATTCAGCAGATAACTAGGCCTAGCACTGTGCTAGGTGCTGGTGATATAAAGAGTAATAAAACAATTTCTACCCTCAATTCTTACAGTTTAGTGGAGAAAGGCCAAGTACATAAACAAGTAATTGCATGCAATTTTTATAGGGAGTAATGGTGTAGGTCCACTAAGGAAGGAATAGTCAGTTTGATTTGGGCAGGAGTGGGGTTGTGGGCACATGAGGCAAGACCTATCACTTGGACTTCCATTCCTAGGTAATAGAATCAACCCCCTTTCCCTTTGTTAGAGCCCAGGAACTTGTTAAAGATGAAAGATTAGAGACTGCAGTTACAAAAAATCTCCCATGGTTACAGTTTGTATTGTTTTCTCTAGTTGTTGTACAAATAAACAAGGTACTGTTAGGCAGTGAGGTGGGGAGCCCATTCATTAGCACCATTTGCTCAGGACTTGGGAAAGGCAACAGTGAGGCTAGGGTGAAGGTCCTTCTCCTACCTGAAGGTGCCTCTCTAGCCACCTGACTTCTTTGGCCAAGATGGAAACATGTTTTTGGGAGGCCGAGGGCATAGCCTGCCTGTGCCCAGTATGTAATTCCAGAAGACTTCTGGCCTCCAGGGCCAGCTTCACTTCTTTAGCCAGAATGGAGACATGTTCTTAGGAGGCCAGGGGGCACAGCCTGCCCTGTGCCTGCTGTGTGGTTCCAGAAGACCTCTGGCCTCCAACGCCAGCCATCAGGAAACTTTTAGCACTGTTAAATCCATTTAAGAGATCTGAAAAGATGACCTTGTGGGACGAGGATGAAGGAAGTGTTAAGCTACCCAAACTTTTTGAGGATTTACTTGACAGAGCTAAAACAAGAGGCTTCTGGAGTGGCCCTTGTAATTGATAAATGTTTTTCTTTCATTTTGGAGTCTCATACGTAGGAAAGTAGCTATATAAACCCTCTTATAACTACAAATCCAAAGATTGATGGTGCTGAAAGTCCAAGAAAGACACATAAACCCTGTCTGGCTATATTAAATATCTAAGGACTGACAATGCCAAGAGAGAGAAGACCAAAGCTCTATAAACCCTACTTTATTACACCATCCACAGATGAACGGCACTGAGGGAATATAAACCCTGTTATATTACAGCAGCCAGGGGCTACCACTGCTGAGAGATGGGGTAAATGATCTCTAATTTTGATTTGAGATTAAAAATGTCCAGAGACCAACAATTTGGGGAAGACTCTAATCTTGGTTGGATTTTAGCCTCTGAGAGCAAACCCCCTGCGAGAGTGAACGTGTGAGTATTAGGTTACATTCTTGAGGGAGTGATAGGTTTTTTGGGAATTCCCTGGTGATTTTTTTAAGGGCTGATGATAAAGTCTTCCCCAATTGGCCTTATAGCAATTGCCAACTTCAGAACAGCTTTGTCAGTTTTCAGTTTGCAGTGGTGATTGAATCTGTTGTGGTAACAATTTAAGTCAATCTGCATTTTTAAATGAAATCTTCCTATGATCCCTTTTTCAGATTTTAGGTTTTCATTGATCTTTCATTTGCTTTGTGATTCCAGCCAGAGAGATGACACGGGGGAAGTTCCTCAACATTCTAGAGAAACCCAAGAAGTAGCAGCCGCTTGTGGACGGGATGTCCTGGGAACTGTAACCATGCTCCCTTCCCGGTGCAGCTCTGACCACGCACACCTCACTGCTTCCTCGGGAGAGGCTGGGGGGTGTACCTCCAGGACCGACCCCCTCCCCGCTCCTGGCACTCTGCGCCTCTGAGGACTTTGGGCAGCAAGAGAAGAATCTGCTCTACCCAAGGATCATTGCAATTATTCAATCAGCTTCCAGACTGGCGTTCTTAACCTTGGATGTGGCTAACACCAGAGGGTGTATCCTTCTTAAGGGTTAAAGTCCTGCTTCTTCATTTCCAGAAGTGATTCAGGAGTCCCAGTATCTCACAGTTGATTTGATTAAGTAATGGCAAAGCCAATTGTGATATGTTGATTGGATGGGTTCTTTTGAGTTGTACTTGACCTGTTAGGAAGTGTTTATGATGCAAGGAAACCAGATACCAACCAGATTCTGGACCAGTCCATGCAGCCTGACCTGTGAACTCTCCAGTATCTACTAGGTTCCAAGAATCCCCAGCTGGAGAAACCAGAGTCTTCTCAAAATATGCAGCTGCTTTTTCAATTCTACACTTCTCATGATAGTCCCATCCCCCAATGCATTCTTCACTTCCCAGCTCCTGCCATCGATTCTGACTCCAGGGAGGGGAATCCCGGAGTAGGGAGTCCCTCCTGGGATTAGCTTGTATAGTGAAAGCCTCATGGAAAGTTACACTGGGTTCTAGACCTCAAGGCCAATATGAAGGTAGCAGAAAGGACTTTTGAGTTCTGGATAATGTGTTACAGATTGAAGCCAGAAATCTGGCCCGAAAGATAGAAAAGGGTGCTGACTGATTTGTAGGAACCCATTTGGTTAGAAACTAGAAAGCCGAATAGACCTTAAAGAAATGTGCTGTGGGATGGTGGCAATGTTTTGTCCCCCTCGTCCCCTCATGCAGCACATTTCAGATACTTCACCTGTCTGACAGAAATACACACAGACGAGAGAGAGAATTTCCTGACTTAAATACAGCTCATATGAAGCTCTTCGCCAGTTACCTGCCCCCCGTGTTAAAATCTGAAAATCTGGTCTGTGGGCAAAGTCAGTTACACGTGTTCTCCCCATTTTGTCTTATAAGCCAGCCCCAGCCTCTGATGTTTTAGAAGTACACAGGGTTTCTGACACTTTATGAAAAGACATCCATGTGGCAGTAGTCCGATGGTGTTTGGACACAAGTTTTTGGTCCTGAGTGTCTGCTAGGGTGTAGCACGCTCCACTTCACTGTCGGGGCCATCAAAACTTGTGCCTTGTTTCCCATTCTAGAATTAGTGTTGAGTTTTTGTCTTATTTGTGCCATTTGAGTATCTGTGCAATTTTACTTATTGAAAAGGAAAAACAAAACAAAACTAAACATGAGACACAAAGGATAAGGAAGGAGGAATACGTTCAGCCTGGTGCTACGTAGAAGTTTAGGTTGTGAAGGCTTTGATTTTAAGTTAAGCTTATTGACATTCCTTTATCTCACTAAATGCGGTTGAAGTGTGTGTGTGTGTGTGTGTGGCCAAAAAATAGTGCCATAATGTCAAATTCTTCCTTTGCTCTGTTTTTGAGAGTTGATGACAGACACCTTTAGATGCTTGGGGAAATGTGAGGAGTATTGGGATACCTCCCCCCAAACCAACTCAAGTCTATAACTGAAGCTATGAGGTTGGTTTTCTGGTCTGCTTTGGCCTCTTTCTTTTACTGTCATCTTATTCACCAGCACTTAATGTAAGTAGATGTTTTAGAATTGCGATATTTATTGGTTTTATATTTGTCATCCTTAGAAATGTTAATGATGTATTTTTATATTGATAATATAAATTTATGTACAGTGTGTACGTGTATGTATTTCAGGATGTTAGAGGATTGTACTTTGTATATGATGGTTTCTGTGTCTTCATAATAAATATGTCCCTTTTATAGGAGAATGAGTCAAAATCTGTTTGCAGACTTCCAGTGAAACATGATGGACTGAACACAAATATTTCCCTGCCACCTACCAAAACCCTAAGTGTGAGTTCCTTTTCAACCCTATTCAAGAACTGGAGAAGAGGATGTACTAATCAGTACTGCTCCATGAAAAGGTCCCTTTTCAAAAAGCTGTTCTGCCGCCAGAATCACATTGTCCAAATGTGGCCCTGGTTGACAGCTACCTGTCCTGACAGTAACAAGAGAATTGCATCAAGAGGATATCCTACCTGATGGCTTCTAGGAAGAAAAAAAAAAAAAGTGATGGTATTGTCACAAAATAGAAACTACCACCCATTGGTAGTTTGCCTGCTCTAGACCAGAGCATGCCATTTTAGAGAAAACACTCCCTTTTAAGGAAAGCAAGTTGCTTATCATCATTGGCTCATCGTTTATTTCTAAGAAAACATACGAGTGGGCGGTAGATTTCTGTGATCTATAAAAGCATGCCTGAACTGACTGACTGAGTAACTAAACAGGGACAACATCATGAATGTTCTACTCTAGGTCTTTAAAGATTATTTCCTAGCTATCCCACAAAATTTTTTTCCTTTACCTTTGCCGTTCTGAATACCATCCCTGTAATGCGTCTGTTGGCTACAGGCAACAGCGTCCTGAGAAAGCATAGCATTTGGTGCTTAGAGGCACATTTTCAAATTCGTATTAAAATCTTTTCTTACCAAAAGTCTCACTGTTTCTTCTTCTTCTTCTTTTTTTTTTTTTTTTGGTAGTAATTATATATATAACAAAACATTTACTGTTTCAACATTCTTCACATGTACAGTTCAGGAACATTAACTAATATTCATCATGTTGTTCAGCCATCACCCTTATCTGTTCCCAAGTTTTTCCATCACCCTTAACAGAAACTCAGTGTCCCATAAGCATTGATTCCTCCTTTCCTCCTCCCTCCCACCCACCTCTGGTAACCACTAATAAACTTAGATCTCTATATACTTGCCTATTGTAGATATTTCATGTAAGTGGGATATACAACATTTGTCCTTTTGTAGTCTCACTGCTTCTTGTTCGCATAGATCTCTTAGGTTTTGAGCCTCTGCTGATTCGCTTGGGCTTTTCTTCCAGTTAGAGCACTAAAAGTTCACAGGACATTGTTATATCGAAATACCAGCATTAATTTATCTTTTTGTTACCCATTTATCATATTTTTTAAATGGACACTTGCCAACTGCTCCTTATTTTTTGTTCTGCTTATTGTAGCTCCTGTGTCTTCTGAACTCACCCAAATCAAGGCAGTGAAAATGGAATTGGTGGAAGTCATTCCATTGCTGCTCTGGCTTCAGAAGGGTGTTTGGACTTCCATAGCAGCTTTGTAATGAAGCCAAGAAATTTCATCTCCAATGGGATGCTCTGATCCCTGCTGTTTCCTCCAGGATTCAGGGATCACAGTATGGTGAACAGGCTGAGCAGGAAGTGAGGAAATGGGCATATGGACCAAGGTACACTGTCTCAGGGGTCAGATAATGACAGTTTCTTACTAGCTCTCAACTTCTGCACTAACCCCATCGCCAAGCGTTTGATTATGTTCTCTAATTTGTTTTCTTCATCCTTTGAGAGCTACATGACTCCCTGAATGACTGCTGCATGGGTTTCATTGCACCAGGGTGCCGGGCAAACTCCCTAACCCCCAGAAAGCAGGCAAACAATAGTCTCTCCAAGCTCAGAAGTTCTGACTGACCTGTAACTGGCTCATCCTATCTATTTAGGCTTTTGGGACTTTGGGGATGTGTCCTTGATTATGCCTCAAGAGGCCATTGGCCTCGCCACCCTTTGCATGGCACTTTTTCTTCTGGAGTAGGGAGCAGTTGGGGCTTCAGCTGGCACCAAGTGCAACTGTGAGGCTCCTGGTTGGCGAGAATGCTAGTGGAGACTCTTAATTAGCACAGGAACACTCCAGTGCTCCATTAGCCAGGCCAGGCATTCCGAACCTTCCCCTCCTGTGGGCCCTTCCTCCTAATGAGAGCTGGAAGAGGGGCCCTCACAAAACACTGCCCCCAAATAATATTCTGCTTTGTCCCCACCAGTAACCAGGGCTGACAGGATCACTCTGTCCATTTCTCTTCTAATTAGCACAATTCCAGCATGGCCTGAGCCAGCAAATGGAGAAAAGCGATCAAAAGCAATCGGACAACCGTAGCGAATCACAAACACAAAGAGGGCCATTCCCTGTAATTAGGTGAGACAATTCCTCGGTCTTTTCTTGGCTGGAGTTTGCCGCTAAGACTCTTGCTGTTTGGGTCCCAGCAACACAAGTTACATGTCTCCCTGGGACGCTAATAAGCCCCAAATTGCCTTCCGCTTCACACAACTCTAACCAGAGGACAGATGCGGGGGGAGCACAGGGACGGGACAGGGTCTCCAAACAAGCAACTGCCACAATGTTTCCCTAACTCCAAGAAGCAGGCACGGGCTGTGAGTGAGAGGGAAAAGGCAGTGGCTTGACCGGAGAACTCAGTGCAGCCTGGTCACCGTCATTTGACCTGGAGTCTGAAGCACTTCCAATTCCTGACCCCCAGGGAATCTCATTCTCCACTATTGGCCTCACCCTGTTCATTTTCTACCTTCTGCCTATTGTCCCCTTTTGGCCTCCTCTCCCCTTCTCCAACTGGTAGTATCATTCCTGGAACTACATGAAAGTCCTTTAGCTCTATATAACTACAGTTAAAATCTCAAGGATTGCTAACACAGCCCGCAGGTGAATTCTGCCCTTGAAGAGGTTATGACCTGGAAGGGGCACCCCCTTCCCCCCACTCACTCTGGGCCTCACTTCCAACACCCATCACTTTCATGCCTCTGGCTCTTCCCCAATCCCTGCCAGCTCTCCCATTCTGTCTCTTGGAAAATTCCTGTTTTTTAAAATAAAAGTAGTCCATCAACTGCCAGGGCAAGACCCATAACTGGTTGTACCTCATGTGGTTTAGAGATTGGCCCCTTAATAAACAGAAACAGCTCCCCTAGGATTGCAGCCCATTATAGGGATTACTTAGGGTGATATAGCCATGAACTTGGTCATAGCCAGGGACAAAGGAATGCAGGGAGAGTGGCAGCTGGAATCTCAATTAAAAACAAGCTCTCAGCTGAGTTGGACTCACTTATTTTCATCTTATCCTGCCTCCTGCTTTCAGTCTGCTCTATGCCTGATGCTTGGGAAGATGATGTCCAATACCAGAAAACACTCAATTTAGAATCCAAAGAGCCAGAAAACTCAACTAATCAGGGTTGCTTGGTTGTTTTTCCATTTTCCCTGAGACTCAGAAAGATAACTGTAAGATTTGACTTTTTAAATAACTTCTGGGACATGTCAAACAAAGAATTTATCAAATTTGTCCAGTCTCCTGTAGATTCTTTGATTATAAACAGAGCTTAGGACTGTGCCTAGCACATAATAAGTGCTTAATAAGACTTTGTTGACAGAAAGAATGAACTATGGCATGATATTCCGTGTTCATAGCCTGTCCAAGATGTAGTAAGGGCTTGAATTTGGAGAGAGGCAGGAATAAGCCTGTGCAAGTTGCTTTTCTCTGAACCTCAGTTTCCTCAGGCCTTTTCCACTTCACAGAAGAGCAGCCTAGCATTGTGGATAAGGGTCTAGACCCTGGAGTCAGTCTTGTTGTTAGATGCCATTGAATCAGTTCCAACTCATAGCGACCCTATGTACAACAGAAAGAAACACTGCCTGGTCCTGTGCCATCCTCACAATTGTTGTTACACGTGAGCCCCTTGTTGCAGCCACTGTGTCAGTCCACCTCATTGAGGGTTGTCTTCGGCTGGGTTCTCTAGACAAGCAAAACCAGTAAAGCATATAAATATATACAGAGAGAGAGATTTATATCAAGGAAATGGCTCACGAGGTTATAGATGCTGAAATGTCCCAAGTCCTTGGGTCAGGATAGAGACTTCTGATGCATGTAGCTGCAGGGGCTGGCAAACCCAAGACTGGCTCGTCAGAGAGCAGGGCTCTTTTTCACAGGCTGCAAAGATCGATGAATCCCAAGATCGGCAGGCAAGACTGCAGGTAAGCTGCTAGCTCAAGTCCCAAGAACCAGAGGTCAGAAGAACAGGAGCCAGCTGCAGGATCCAACAGGAGCAAAAAGCCCCCAAGCCTTGCCAGAATATACACTTATATTCAATGCAGGCCACATGCCTAAGGAAATTCCCTTTCAACTGATTGGCTACTCACAGCAGATTCCATCATGGGGTGATCACATATCAAATCTCGACAGGGAAGTGATCACAACATCATATGACTGCCAAAACACTGAGAATCAGGGCCCAGCCAAGTTGACACACAATCTTAACCATCACAAGGGTGTCCCTCTTTTTTGCTGACCCTCTACTTTACCAAGCATGATGTCCTTCTCCAGGAAACTGGTCCCTCCTGATAACATGTTCAAAGTATGTGAGACAAAAAGTCTTGCCATCCTTGCTTCTAAGAAGCATTCTGGCTGTACTTCTTCCAAGACAGACTTGTTCGTTCTTCTGGCAGTCCATGGTATATTTAATATTCTTTACCAAT